ACTCGACTCGTCGACCAGCCACGTTCTTACTCGCGGCTTCCAGAAACGGCCCTGACCTTGACTTCGCTCCTACACGTGCACGAGCCACGCTCTTCGTTATGGATAGTCAACAGCGGCTCCTTGGTGATGCTCTCTCTCTTACGCGTACCCGGCCACTCCGCGCTATAGAGTTTGGGCTAGTCAGGGCTGGTGACGCGATATAGAACCAACTGGAAGGGAATTACTCATATTTAAAATATGAAGAAACACTAAATAAACATAATGTTTATCTCCAACTGCTCGGCAGGATATAAAATTCACCGATATATTGCTCCTGATCAACTCCGCTATATTTTCTTCAATCGCCGAGTTCATATATTTTATTTTTACATCATGTACTACTCGTTCTACTTATTTGTATTGCAGGATCATCGTTTGAGTGGTCGCACCACCTGGCCTTCGGACTTCACTGCCGATCAACTAGTCGGACCGCTAGGTTCATGACCTTCATCATCAACCAGTTGGTCGGACTAGTCGGCGCTCACTTCTACTCGGCGCTCACTTCACCGCTGACCAGTTGGTTGGGCTGCTTGGTGCTCAATTTTTCGCCGACCAGCTGGTCGGATTGTTCGTCGCTTCATCATCAGCTACGCTGAGGGCTCACCAGCTAAGCGGGGGACTCCTCGGTGTTCAGATTCTTCGTGCAAGAGTTGCCAGTTAAGCTAGGGACTCCCTTGTCGGTCGGATTTTACTACATTTCGACGGCGTTGCATGCCATGTGTGCTATCAAGCTGCTCCACGATGTTCGGATCATGGTACTGATCTTGGGCAGCACGTTGGGGCCTTGGTAGATACATGGCAGATGACGATAGCTACTTCACGCATCAACACTGGAATATCAAGCTCCAAATTTCTTTGATCCTGCTACAAGATTCATTCTTCATCTTCTAGCAGGCTCGGGGACTAATTGTGTACACTTTACCTTACGGTGAATGTACTGATTTTTGGATCACTCAATTTCTCAGCTACGCTGGAACTGGCTGCTTTCCCTGGCAACGCCGGGGACTGGTTGCATTCTCAGCTATGCTGGAGATTGCCTATTTTTCTATAAGACCCTGACACCAAGTGTATTTTACACCTAATCTCAGGCTCGGGGACTACAGTGTGTACACTGCACCTCGCGGTGCATGTACTAGTTCTTCATGATGTTTTGGCTATGCCAAGAGTGTCACTTAATGCCTTTGCTTTTCTCCGGTGACTACATCATCAGTGTAATTGCAATTGGCATTTAAGTATGTACACTTCACCGACTAAGAATTCTCAAATTTTTGTGTTGAGCTTCTTACATCCTATTTGTGAGCCTCACTTGGCTAAGTCCGAGGTTTGCTGATCAACTAAACTGCTCGACAGCTATCCACACAGGTCGACACGTCAGTTAAACTGATCGGCAAGTAATTTCACCGCCTAGGCCACCAGTCAAGCTGGTCGGCCTTCATCTTCACCACCCATGCTACCAGTTAAACTGGTCGGCTTTCATTTTTACCGCTCGGAACATCAGTCAAGCTGATCGGCTTTATGTTAAACTGCTCTGACTTGATCAAAACGGCGTCACCAAGCGGATATAAGGCGCTCGGGGACTAGTTGTGAGGGGTCTGACCCCAGCTATCCACGGCGATGCACATGGGCCGCACCAACAGGGACGGTCCAGCCCATAAGACGAAAGCTTGCGACGCACGGCACAGCTCGACGCCCGCCGCAAGGCTTCTCGGCGACATCCTGAAGATCGTGTAGAATCTGTTAGGATATGCCGAATGTATGATTCCATGTATAGATTATCTCTTACCCGATCGGACTCTGACCTATCGGCATGTAACTCTACCCCGGGCTATATAAGGCGGGTAGGGGACTCCCTCAAAACACACACAATCATATACGATAGCCAATATAAACCGACGGGACACATGATTAGGGTATTACGTCAAGCTGACGGTCTGAACCTGTATAAATCTTGTGTCTTGCCACCATCTCGTTCTTGATCTCGCTCACCTCTCCGATCAATCTACCATCGCGGGTAGCCCTCTCAACGGACTGCCGAGCATCTTTTGTCAACATTGGGCGGCCAGTAGGGGCCATATGCCCCCTCCACTCGTATGAGGTTGAGGTATGTGTGATCCCCGCCGGTTACTTTTTTATTTTTTTTGTTTGTGTGTAAATGAACGGACGAGTAAAACGGATCTCTCTGTCTCTTGTGTCTTTCCTACAGCCGAAAACAACGACGCCTACTCTCTGCTGTGCATTCAACACTTTCCCATCCCAAGTATAACTATATTTTTTAGTTGAGTTAAATGCATGGTGGTCCCTAAACTTGTCAAAGGGTTCCACTTAGGTTCGCGAACTTGAAAATGCATTTTTATGTCTCTGAACTTGTTAAATTGTGCGTCGCAGGTTCACAACATCCACATGTCCATTTCTTGCTGACGTGTCACGCCAACATGCCATGTATTTTTGTACTTAGCCCCTCATCGTCTCTCTTCTCACGCCAACGTCCACATGAGATTTATAATTATCTTTCCATTCGCACTGGCAGTGAAGTGTTAGGTTTTTTTTGGTTTTGGCTCTTGAGCACGTGTGAAGCTAAAGACCCTGTTTCTTGATGAGTTTCTTTGCAATAGCAGACACTAGGCGGCTAGCACTATAGGTATTATATATACTACTGCCGTGACCCCAAGCCATCAACTGTGAGCATTCCCACAACACCAAGCTCCTCTCCTCACATCACATTATCACCACCACCACCAGCATCATCATCATGATAGCCTATATCCCTGTGTTGGCCAATAAGGTTCTGTGGGCGTTGTCACTCGGGTTCACCAGCCTAGCTGTGGTCTACGTGACTGGTAGGGCTCTCAGGATACTCCCGGCCACCGGCGACGATGCGATAATAAGTAATTTTTTATTATTTGAATACAATAAAAATATTGTGAACTATATCTTATGAGTTGTCTTTTTAATTAATTGCATATGGTTCTGCGAAGGAGCTGGGACCAGCAGGGGCCATATGCCCCCTCCCCTCTCCTATCCCAAGCACAACCATATTTTTTTACACTTAAAAAGACTTAATCTCTACACTTAAAAAGATTGAAATATCATGGAAAAAGTCTACTTAACCCCCCACCTTTCATACATGGTCTACTTCACCCCCAACTATAAAACCGTCTGTTTTACCCCCTGAACTTTCCAAAACCGTCTATTTTACCCCCCGGGCGGTTTTTGACAGCGGCTTTGCTACAGTAACAGCAGGTTGCTACAGTAACTGTGGGTTTGTCTGTAATTAATTGGAATAATTCATAGCTTCAGCTTCTATGGTTCAATTGTGGTGAAATTTTTATGATACGCTAATTATTGTATGCTTGAACTATAGTAAAAATTTCGTACTCATTGGACTATGTATAACTTAGTTATAGATAAATTCTAATTAATTATAGAAAAAATTGGATTTTCCAATTAATCTAAAGCTACAAAAAAAAAATTATACTAAAGCATAACGTATTATATATTCACTGTGTAGATCTACTCATGTGGAGTCCAATAAAATTAGAAATTTTATTTTATGATTTTTATATGATTTACTATGATTTTTCAAAAATTCAACGAAAATAAATTTAAAAAAGGAAATTCAAACCCACCGACACTGCAATACACCGTACTGTAGCAAACCGGCTGCTACTGTAGCACAGCCGCTGTCAAAAACCGCCCGGAGGGTAAAATAGACGGTTTTGGAAAATTCAGGGGGTAAAACAAACGGTTTCATAGTTGGGGGTGAAGTAGACCATGTATGAAAGGTGGGGGTTAAGTAGACTTTTTCCAAATATCATCACCTAACCCTGTGATACCGAGTCTCGATCCCTGCTCATATCCGCGTCCGATACGAATCATCCTCCACTTGGAACACGCCCTATTTGATTCCGATACGAAGATCACATAAGCCTAGCAGCATTTCAGCTTCTGATCTTCTTTCATGGCCAGCACAGCCTCGATCACATCTCTCGTTGACTGCTTTGTTGCTAACATTTCACACACCCGGTTCAGACCAAAGAGGCACCACACCTTCTGCATAAGCTTGCATTTGAAAAACAAGTGAGCCCCGTCTTCATTGAAACGTTGGCAGATCACGCACCGGGTATCAATATCCATTCCGCGTCTTCTCAAGTCAATACGGATGGGGTGACTGTTATAGCAGAGCCTCCAATGAAAGTGCTTAACCTTGTTTGCGCAATTTAGATTCCACAACTTCTCCCACAGAGATTCATATCCCCGCATCTGGGTTTGGCGCCGAGCCCCCACCTCTACTGCTCCTGCATAGCTGATCACTCCTTTACTTTTTTTTTTTTTTTTTTGAGAATTACACTCCTTTACAACTTGATGCGCTTTTAACTGAAAAAACTCCCTTCTTATCAAAATGCCAAGCCGCTAAATTCTCCATGCCCCATGAACTGGAATTGCCAGAATAACCTTCGCGTCCTCCTCCCAAAAGATGTCATTCACTAGTTGTGTATCCCAGCTCCCCATGACAGGGTGACTTCGCGTAAGAGACGGACGAGGTGGTGGAAGTCGAAGGCGGTCGAAAGCAAACCTTCATAAACGGAAGGAAACCCATTCCAGGAGTCCATCGGGCCGTCGTTGTAGTCTAAAGGCCCATAATTGTAATCTTCATCAGGCCCAGGATTACGCACCCAGGCCTGCTTTGCGACTCGTGCAAACCCGTCATCTCACGATCGAAATGAGGGAAGGCACTGAGGTCAACATGGTCATTTAGCATACGCCCTGCCTCCCTTACATAACCCTCCCCTCCTCGCCACTCGCGAAAACCCTAGCCGCCGCCAGACCATTTGTTGCTCGCGAGCCCTCGCTTCGGTAACTCTCCGGCACCCTGCTCGATCTGATCCTACTAGATGTGTCGTTCGTCTTCACCGTCAATCCACCTCTCTAATTCGCGCTTTGTTGGCAGGGATCCAGAAAAGATGGCCAAGTCGAAGAACCACACGGCGCACAACCAGTCGTACAAGGCGCACAAGAACGGCATCAAGAAGCCCAAGCGCCACCGCCAGACCTCCACCAAGGGGTAAGATGATTTGCTCCTGATTTTCCTCTTCCGTCGTCCCGTTCGATTGATTGTGCAGCTGCGTTAGTGCGGTCATTGGTTCATACCAGAATCATTTAGCTGCCGACTTTAATGGTTGTTCCGGATAGGTGAAACTGAAATCCATCCAGGTTGTGAAGTTGGCTCCTGGATGCTAATTTGTTTCTGGCATGGTCCGTGCTAGTAGTGGCTCATATGCTCGCGGTACTTGCTAATGCTGTTATTCATTTCTAAGATGAAAGATATCTAAGCCATTTGCGAAGTCGCAACTTATGTGGTAATGGGATGTCCTCTAATTTTTGAAACCTATTGTAATGAATTATCAAAGGATTTGGTGCATAGTTTTTTTATCCGAACCCACTAAGGCCTTGTTTGGATACTCCGTATTCATCTCAATCTCAATCCACATGTGTTGGGATGGAACTTAAACTAATGTACACTCTAATCCACCTCAACACATGTGGCTTGAGGTAGATACGAGGTTATCCACACAAGTCCTAAGTTTTCTCTGACCCTTTGTCTCGAAGGGTTGTCATTGCTCTGCTAGAATTTGTTTCTACTTGTGATTTGAAAACATATTTAGTGCCCGTTTGCTGCTATGGTGTGTATGAATTCTTGCAGCTAGTATTTTTCTTGTCTTTGGTATATAAATAATCTTCATAATGTTTTTGTTCGTGTTGGTCCAGTTGATCAGCCTAGTATTTTACTAGAGTGTTGCTTGGAGACTATTTCGAAGTTGTATTTGATTTTCATCTCCAGAGTTCTGATGAGGTTGAGGTTGTTGCTATGATGAGACAATATACCTTCTGAGAGCAGATTACTGCTCTATGAACCTGGGAAATATTCTTCATATTTCCTCCTGAGCGGTTACCTGAGCAACTGCACAACCTTGATTCTTGTGCTTCATTTAGGATGCTATTTGTATAGACATGCAACAGCAACACAACTATACTTTTGCCAATTTTTCATCTCCACCAGCAGCTTGAGATGCACATTGGTTTCTGCTCTTCAACTGACCAGCTTTCAACATATTTGCAGATGGACCCCAAGTTCCTGAGGAACCTGAGGTATTCAAGGAAGGGCAACAAGAAGAGTGGTGAGGCTGAAGCTGAGGAGTAGGAAGGAAAGCATGGTTGTGTTTCCTCTGTTTTAGCTCAGTTCTACCTTTAGGATCTGGAGTTTTGCTAAAGATGGAACTTAAATGGTGTTAATGTATGATGGCAAGGACCTTTTGCTGCCAAAGTGTTATTATGCTAATTATGTTTTGAAGTTCATGCTACCTTTTGAATTACGGTTTACTTTCTATTCTGTGTTCATTATTTTTGCCCATGGTAACTAAAATTAGATTTCTGGATTGCCTGGGGGGTTTGGCTATTTGCATTTGAGGCTAATCTATTTGAATGTGGCTTAATGTTTTATCTCGCGGGGATTGAGTGTTAATGATTGTTCAGTCTTCAGCACCATTGAAGTTAGGTTTCTACAGTTTGACACCTCTGCGGCTGCTGCTTAGGGCACCATCAATGGAGGCTAACACTCTTAGTTCTATTAGGTTTCTACAGTTTGACACCTCTGCGGCTGCTGCTTAGGGCACCATCAATGGAGGCTAACACTCTTAGTTCTATTACAAGTAAAGTGATTCACATGGACTAGAAAATGTTGAGATTACTATTCATATAATACAAACTATCACTACTTATAGTTTGCAGAGAAACTTTTTTTTTATCACCTTTATTAACTTTACCTCTTCTTTTTTAGCATGGACCACCTTCTCTTCTAATTATATATAGCTTCTGCAAGCCACTATTCCACTATTATAAGTGTAGAACACGATCCTACATGGTTCTTGGGGCTACAAGTAAAAAAAAAAAAAAAAAGGCGTTGGGGAAGGCCTTAGGTGCTCGTGAAACAGTTCCCTGATGGTCGAGTGGATAAACTGACGCCACTATCCGAGGCATCAGTTGAAGATGTGAAATTTGGTGATGGGCATGAAATGAAACACATGGAGACTTTAGATGAGTGGAGCTTGCTTGAAGCTTGGAACTGTTAAAATTGTTGCATTTGTTGTGGAGCAGGGTTTTAATATAATCAAGTTCGCAGAAACAAACAGCTAAGGCCAAACCACTTGGCATTCAGATTTCAGAGATGCCTAATCGCTCGTCGAGGCAACCAAAGGTTAAGGAAGCTCTCAATCAGCTGAATATGAATGACGCTTTTCTCTAAACAAGAGCTGCAAATGCAAGTGGATATATTCCAGCAGAAAACTAGTGCTTGGATCATTGTTGTCGAACTACAAAAGACAGTGCCATGCAATGAGATGTGAAGTATGTGCATATATGATGCCACATACTCGCCATGGTACAACGGCTAAGCTGTAGCTCGCCAGTGGCACATTTGGCTAAGCTGCAGCGTACATGTGAGGAGCATTCTACTCCTTGGGCCTCTTGACGATGAGGACCGGGCATTTGCAGTTCTGCGCGCAGTGGTTGCTGACGCTGCCCAAGAAGGCCCTGCAGGAATGTTCAATTGAAACGAAGATAAACGAGTGAGTAGATTGCTGCTGCAGAGGGTAATTGCAGGCCAAGAAACAAAATATCTGAAGCACTTGTCGCCCTCGAAAGACACCTGCTGTTACTTAACTTATTATGTACTAATCCTTATCCGATGTGGGGTACTACAGTTTTGAACAAGGAGAGAAAGCGACTATTAGCATGTGTCAGTGTCAGTGTCAGTGTCAGTGTCAGCTCACCTCTGGATGAAGCCGTATCCATGGCTGCCCATGACGAGCAGGTCGGCGGCCATCTTGGCGGCGGCGTCGCAGATGACGTCCCGCGGGTCCCCGCTCTCCACCATCGTCTCCACCTTGACGTGCGGGTGGTCGGCGCAGACGCGCTTGGCCTCGTCGACCACCGCCGCCGAGACGGCGTTGGCGTGCCTCTCGACGCTCGCCAGCAGGTCCGAGGTCATCATGTACCCTGCAGGCAGAGGCAGGAAGGCCCCAGGGCATCAGTTGTGAGGTTGAATGCGCGGCCCGGCTCCATGTGATCTGGAGAAATTTACAACTGCACTACTGCAGTCTGCAGTAGTAGTGTTAATACCTGCGCTGTCCATGGCGGCGTAGACCGGGCGCGGGCGGCGCGCGTGGACGAGCACCAGCGTGTCGCCTCCTGCTGGTGAGACGACGTTGGCGAGGCACCAGTTGAGCGCGTGCAGGCTCTCCTCGCCCTCGTCCACGGCCACCATGATGCGGCGCCCGGCACCGGAGGAGGCGACGGCGGCAGTTTCCATGTACTCCTAGATCGGTGATGAAGGATTGTTGCAGGGGGTGAGAAATGAGAACAATTAATTGGATGCTATTGACTGGGAATTGAGGAGAGCTGGGCAGTCTGCTTTAAAAAAGAGAAGCAGCCCTGGCTCTGGCTGGCTGTCCCCCCCGTCTCCGTGCGACTCTGCCCTGGGTTTGGGAGCCCGCGGCCGCCGCTGGGTTTCTCTGCTCGTGCGATGTGCTAGTACGAGGAGAGCGTGAGCGTTCCTTGGATAGTTGGATCCAACCAGCAACTGACCTGCGGAATTGAGGCTACCGACACGAGACAGGATGATACTGCCGTCGGCGGCAGCTGTTTTGGGTATGGAATCTGACCCAGGCACACGGTTTTGCAGTGCAGCAATTAAAGATGGCAACGGGCGGATTCGGATCGGGTAGATTCGGATCGGGTAGAGTCTCCGCGGAACAAAAACCGAAACCTGAAAGTAAAACCCGAATCCGCCCCGAACCCCGATTCGGGTGAAAATTCATCCCCGAAACCGAAACCCGCGGATCCCCGAAGCCCGACGGATTAACCGAAACCCGAGAAAATTACAACAGATCAACAGCGAGGACGCGGACTAGGGTCGCGGACTAAAGAGGCGGCAAGGCCGGCGAGGGTGCCCGTCGAGGCTCGCTGGCTGGGCGCGCCATGGAGCGCGGTCGCCGCCGCCGCGCCACAGAGGTCGAGACCGGCCGCGCGCCGGTTGCGATCTTCTGCGGTCTAGGCGACCAACATCCCGCGGTCGACTTCATGGTCATGGACGGCGGACTTCGCCAATGCCGCCCGATCGCGGAGACGCGGACTCATGGTCTGTCGTAGATCATGACGACGCCGCGGTCTGGGATTCAGCGGATGACGCGGACGGTCTTGGGGGTGCGGATGAGGGTCTTAGGGTGAAGGTTCCTATTTTAGGCAATATATACTAGGGTTTCTTAGCTGGGCTTTTAGTGGGCTGCATATTCGGGGCCCGATGGAGTATCCACGGGTGAAAAATAGAGTCCGCCCCAAACCCATAGAGTTTCGGGTATCCGAACCCGCAAATCCGTGGGCGAAAAACAGGCACCAAAACCGAGACCCGAGAACCCAAAAACTCATGGATATCCGCATCAAACCCGATCCTCGCCATTTTTAGCAGCAATCTTGTGCTTTGCCTGAGAGCCAGTCGCTTGGGGGCCTGCTCGGAAGAATGCTCTACGCACTGTGCATATGTTGGGCCACATTTCCTTTCCACTCTCGGTCGATGAACATTTTTTTAAAAGTCCCCATTATTTCCTTCAACTTTCACGAAAGTCCATTTTTCTCCCTGAACTCTAAAACCCGACAAAACACCTCCCTCAACTTTTAAAACCGTTCATCTTACCTTCCTAGCCCTGTTATAAGCAGTTTTGAAGGCGGTTTTATCTTTTTTCTTTTTTATTTATTTCGGCTGAATCTTTGAAAAATCACAGTAAATCACATAAAAATCATAAAATAGAAAATCCAATTTTGTTGAACTCCACATGAGTAGGTCTACACAGTGAACATATAATATGGTATGTTTTAGTATAAAGTTTTTACTGTGGCTTTAGATCTATACTTTTATGTAATTAATTGGAATAATTCATAGCTGCAGTTTCTATAGTCCAGTTGTGATGAAATTTTTATGGTGGGCTAATTATTGTATGATTGAACTGTTGCAAAAATTTCATACTCATTCGATTATATATAGCTTAGTTATATATTTATTTATATTTTACAAGCATAAACCTAAATAAAATCTATAACTAAATTACACATGATCCAATGAGTATGAAATTTTTACTATCGAAAAGGCCCTAACCAAAGAGCACCTGAGGCTTTTCTGACAAGACCAACCTGTCACTCCGAAATCCCGGCATTACAGAGCAGCGTGGTACGAAGTCATCCAAATGACCAAATCTGTATTTCATCGGCATTGATGTACCAGGTTTTCTCGCCTAATCTCATCGGTTTGCTGAACTTGGGCCCTTAAACTCTAAATTTTAGTTTGAATTAGCTAGATATCGTTAAAAGCTGGTTTATGGCTTCTGGATTGTTGAAAGTAGGTGTCAAAGCTTATCTGTTTGATCAGCTTTAGCTTTAGAAAGCTACGGTTCATAAGCTCTGGCTCATCAAAGCATGACCATTGAGTCATTGACTAATAAGCTAGTACTGTTGCATGGGAATCCAAGTGAGGCGAGCGTACGCTGTGCTTCCGTGGGCTCAAGGACTCGGAACTCTTTCTTTGGAGTAAGTAGTAGTAGTCAAAGGTTCATTGCGTTGCGTGCTTCTACATAGCACTCGTCAAATGCTTGACATGTCATTATCCCTTCGGACGCTACGTATGTAACGTATCTTCTACGGAGTACGGAGTACTAGCGTACAGTGACCACGCTGGCAGTGACTAGCTAGAGGACCCTAGCCTAGTCGGCTAGTCCCTATCCAAAAAGGAAGAAAGTCGTTGTAATTAAGCAATTACGGAGAAGAATAGAAAAGGTCGCAAATCGTAATCCGATGATGATGGTGCTTCAACGTTCGCCGGGACACGTGGCACCGCTGTGGAGGGCAGCCTTGAGAGTGAGAGCGAGGGGACGGGCGGAAGGAACACGCGTGTCTCTGGAAGACCCGTGCGTCACCTCACTCCTCTAACGAAAGTTCCATAGCCTATTAGCCTGGTGGAGCCCTGGACGGTGGGCCGACGACATGACGACGTGCTGCTACGGGGTGTGGATTATCTTTGGACGGCGGCTGGTGGTGGTGCGCCTCGGTCATCATCCGACGCGTCGGCGCGTGGTAATAATCAATTTATTTATGCCG